TGCTTTAGCAATAGCATATGCTGGTGGTCACTCTATTCCCCCAAATTTGAATTTAAAAATGAATCTGTATTATTTTTTAAACATGTACATTTATTTGAAAAGAATACGAGCTGAGTTTCTTATCAGTTCTTCTCATCTCGAAATCATTCCGAACTGACGGTAGATTTGACATATCATAAGAGTCTGTAATAGACCTACATAAAGATATTTTGAATTTTCTAAGTGGGTCACAGCAGGTCGCTGCCATGGGGCAGGTGTTTAGCTGGTTGAATAAAGTCAGGAGGCTGGGTGGAGCCTTCCATAAGTCGACTTTGGCCTTATGTAGGTCATTGTTCAGAACTCTTGCCCTTGTCAAAGAGTTCTTCCGGCTTTTTAAGTGAATTTTTATTGCTATTTCAATTATATAGAGTGCAAAGTAAAACACAGATATACCATCAAATTGAGAGCGTCCTCGTTTTTGAAGTGGTTTAATAAATATATCTACGCAATATTTGAACAGAGTTTAAGTATTAATCTATACATATAAATAAAATTGGAGTGTCTGTTTGTAATATTGAAATAACCGTTTTTTACTACACGCATATGAATATAAATACGGTACATACACCAAAATTACATTTTTATAATTTTCGTCTGTCTGTCTGTCTGTGTGTTTGTTCCGGCTAATCTCTGAAATGGCTGGATCGATTTTGATGGGACTTTGGCAGGTAGCTGTATATAATAAGTAACTTAGGCTTCATTTTAGATAAATAAAGTTAATATCCACGCGGACGAAGTCGCGGGAATAGCTAGTTTAAAATAATTAAAGCATGTCGGTAATGTATTGACTCAGAGCAATGGCGGAGATTCTCGGAATGTGTAAATGAATTTCTGTTATTTCTCGTTTTGTGCCACAGACACGAGAAAGCTATTACGGTAATGTCAAGTACATTATACATAGCTCTGTACACATACACACATACACACACGCCGAGTGATTTATATGAACTCGGATGAGTGCCCATATAATCGTACACACAGCTACCGCAAGCATTCTAGAAATTCTAGACCATGCTAGAAGAAGACGAGATAAAATGTGTCAGATTCGGTGTTTCGCTTGCCTCTCCTTCATCTTTAGAGCCACGAGGTGAAATTTGGAGTAATAAATATGTCGGAGTCTTTGAAGGGCACAAAATGTAGGAAACATTCACAAATTTTTACTAATAAATAAATACTATTTTACCTAAATGTCGTTTGGCTAAAGTTAGTTATTCGTTTTATGGCAATTGCGTAAGGTTTTACAATAAAATACCAGAGTCTGTTATAAATCTGCCAGAAAAAGATTTAAATGTCAAATAAAACACTTCCTTTGCAAAAAAGCTTACTATAAAATTGAAGAATTCGTTAACGATAATAATGTTTTTATAGAAAAAATTTAAATACATAGCACTGACAATATTATCTAATTACACTAATAATGAGTGCGTAGCGATTTCTATGTTGATTATCGCATGCCTCTTACTTGTTACACTGTAATTATTTATATAAAAAAAACATCTATTAAAAAGAGCAACACACAAGTTTCTTGCTCATTCTTCTTGTGATGAATCTGCATTCCGAATGAGTGGTAGAATCAAAATATGACTATTCAAAAGTGCTTGTAATGAGTTTATTTGAATAAAGATTATTTCTATTTCTATTTCTATTACTATACTATAGTAGGTTCTGGGTTAAGTTCTTTGCTGTACATATATCATATTTATTTATTGTGTATTACTTAAACATCATTATTAAATACAGTATATTGTAAATACGTACATATTATACATAGAAAACACCCAGAACGATATAAACAATCATACTCACGTCCGAGGAAGCGAACCCGCGATCATCGGAAGCTAGCTAGTTTATAAACTACTAGACCAACCAATTATAACGGAGAAAGAAAGCAGGGCAACAGCTACAAAAATATACTGTGTGAAAGATGATATGGTAAGAAAGGGAGTAAATGACGAGATGACTGCGAACAGAGATGAATAGAAGAGAAAAACATATTACGACGACCACAAATAAATGGGATAAGAAAGAAGCAGGTGATGATGAAAGAAAAACAGGATATTGGCTACTAAAATATAATTGATATGATAAAATTCAATTTAAACAGACCAGTACTGAAATCTTAATTAAAAAAAACACTCATTATCTGATTTAAAAAGTACTCATTAAGTAATATTTGTGTTAAGTATATGTATATACTAGCTGTACCCGCGATTTCGTCTGCGTGGAATTTAACTTTATTTTTCTAAAATTAGTTACTCCTTATGACATCAGCTATCTGCCAAAAACAGTCACGTCAAAATCGATCCAACCATATCAGATACACAAAAGTTGTAAAAATTGCATTTTGGTATATGTACCGTATTTATATTCATATGCATGTATTAATAAAACGGTCATTTCAATATTACAAATAGACACACCAATTTTATTTATATGTATAGATGTATAGATAAATGTTTATTTATGTATACAAATGTACCTATAAAGTAATAACAAATATAATCTATATTTTGCCAAAAAACTATTCTACAGTTCGTCGAGTCATTCATAATAATAATATGTTTGTTAAATAAACAAAAGGTTAACTTTCGTCAAAATCGGTAGAGCCGTACCGGAGGAGTTTGGTAACAAACTTATATACGTATACAGTGCACCGCTAGGGGTTCGAACCTCGGGTCAGGAGTAATTTCGATTCCCGTTTGAATTGGAGCGCCCGGGCGCGCGCAGTCGCCCGGTTGATTGCGCGATATGGTGTGTTGGGGGTCGTCGTCTTCGCCGGCGAGGACGGTGTCGTGTGTGTGTGTAAAAGTGTGGTCCGGGTGGAACGGGTGGGCCCGTGGGGAGGTTGACTGCCGTTATGGGGTCGTCGGGGTCAATGAGAACGTGCCTCGGGCAACGTTGACGCGTATGTCAGATATTATATAATATAATATAATCTAGTATATTAATTATATTTCCAAAAACACAAACGTGCTAAACAAAAGTTGGATTTACATATGGCTTAATGCAATATTGTGCAGTAAAACAACTCAAAAGTATATAGTCGTCTAAGTAACGAGTCTATACAGCGGCACTGAGTCAAACGAAATCGCTCATGACTGACGCAAAAGATTGCCTCACCAACTAAACGGTGCTAATTTTTAACAAAATAACGTACATTTCTAGTGTAAGACTGTCTTGTAATGCTAAATATTTAAATGTATATCTTTTTTTTTTATTTATGAAGATTTTAATCTATACATATAAATAAAATTGGAGTGTCTGTTTGTAATATTGAAATAACCGTTTTTTACTACATGCATATGAATATAAATACGGTACATACACCAAAGTAATATTTTTTACAATTTTTGTCTGTCTGTTTATTCCGGATAACCTCGGAAATGGCTGGATCGATTTTGACGGGACTTTTTTCGGCAGGTAGCTGAAGTAATAAGGAGTAACTAAGGCTACTTTCATTTTGGAAAGAACCTTTTATTTTAGAAAAATAAAGTTAAATTCCACGCGGGCGAAGTCACGGGAACAGGTAGTACATAAGTAAATTTGAAGTGTATGTTTGCAATTTCTAATTAACACATTTTCAACTATGCCAACTTATGTCTGAGGGATATGACTTTAGGCTGCACTCATTGCTCCCTAAAATATGGTCGAGCGCAATGATGACTGGCTTATCCGTCATACTCGTGAACGAGTGCTGCTTGTAGGGACTGGTCTGCTCTTATCACTACGACTGATTTAATCTTATTGTGTATTTATATCTGATCCAAAAAAAATTGAATCCAATGGAGAGGAACGGGAATAAACTAAATTTTTTTTAAAGCCATTTTATTTACAATGTATATATATATAGGTGTCTATGTCTAACATTAAATGAAAATCCCGTGCATGAACAACTATTGCCATGCACGCTGGTCAGCGTTGTAATAGACTTACATGAGAAATATTTATTCACGTAGCTCTAATACAGACTAACTAAAGTTCAAACTTGTGGCGGCGTGGTGGGCCGGGTCGATGTGCCCCCTCTAATATTGTTGAGTGCAATGATGGATGGCTCATCCGTCATACTCGTGAACGGGTGCTGCTTGTGGGGACTGGTTGCGAACACTGATAAATTTTTTTTTCTTTGCGATAGCATATGCTGGTGGTCACTCTATTCTCCCAAATTTGAATTTTAATGACTGTGTATTATTATAAACATGTTCCACTATTATTTGAAAAGAATACGAGCTGAGTTTCTTATCAGTTCTTCTCATCTCGATATCATTCCGAACTGACGGTAGATTTGACATATCATAAGTCTGTAATTGCGACTTTGAAGTGGCAATGGGCAGGGCACATAGCTCGTAGGACAGATGGCCGTTGGGGCAGTAAAGTCCTCGAGTGGCGACCACGGACCGGAAGACGCAGCGTGGGAAGGCCTCCAGCAAGGTGGACCGACGATCTGGTCAAGATCGCGGGAAGGCATTGGATGCGAGCAGCGCAGGACCGATCGTCGTGGAGATCTTTGGGGGAGGCCTATGTCCAGCAGTGGACGTCTTCTGGGCTGCGATGATGATGATGATGATGATGAAGTCTGTAATAGACCTACAATCTACATGAATAAAGATATTTTGAATTTGAATTTGAATTTAAGCTAGCTCTGTTAATGACTACCTTTAATTTGATTTTATATGATATACATTTCTTTGTTACAGATATAAATGGTGAACAATAGGAGTATATGAAAACTGTACAACAAACAACAGCCTTGCTACCGTTACCGTTGCCCGCAGTCCAGCGGCAAATAGAGTAGAGTTTTATACAAAAAATGAAAGTGAGAATGGATTCAAAATGATCGTAATAGCAACTAATTAGGATGTGAAACCATGTTGGATAGCGTGGGTCGCGCGGACAGAGTGTTACGCGCGGTCACGACACACCACCGACCGCGGGGTGGCCGCGGGGGTGCTACCAACACCAACCCCCTCATTGTCTTCATACTCCTGCTACTCTACTTCAGGTGAGAAACTATTCAATCTGCTCTCATCATCATCATCATCATCATCGCAGCCCGGAAGACGTCCACTGCTGGACATAGGCCTCCCCCAAAGATCTCCACGACGATCGGTCCTGCGCTGCTCGCATCCAATGCCTTCCCGCGATCTTGACCAGATCGTCGGTCCACCTTGTTGGAGGCCTTCCCACGCTGCGTCTTCCGGCCATCTGTCCGTGGTCGCCATGGGTGTCTTTTTGTGGGCTGATGATGATGATGATGATGGGTGTCTTCTTAATTTGTCGATCATCCGGATCACTAAGGAGGTATCATAATAAACTTAGCTTGACGAGAGATTTTGCGTCGCTTTTCATGTTATACAGGATATACAACGGACTGTGTTCTGAAGAATTATTCATCATGATGTCCACGGCTACGTTTTACTATCGTAAACCTGCTCTATGGGTGTCTTTTTGTGGGCTGATGATGATGATGGTGGGTGTCTTTTTAATTTGTCGATCATCCGGATCACTAAGGAGGTATCTAATAACTTTTTTTTTTATATCATAATAAACTTAGCTTGAGGAGAGATTTTGCGTCGCTTTTCATGTTCTACAGGATATACAACGGACTGTGTTCTGAAGAATTGTTCACCATGATGTCCACGGCTACGTTTTACTATCGTAAACATCTCTATTCTTTTTAGTATGAAACAAACAAGTTTTGTACCATTTTACAATCCCGATTAAATGCGCGAACTTCTATTGGCACTTAGCAAGGCATTTTTTTAGCATGAAACAAACAAGTTTTGTACAATTTTACAATCCCGATTAAATGCGCGAACTTCTATTGGCCTTTCAAGACGAAAAATTTTGAAATTTTTAAATTCATTATTTAACAAATAGTCTTAATTCTGGAAAACTTGGGGCAATTGTGTCATTATTTTTGAATGTGGTTCTAGAAATGTTATTTGGTTTACGGTTCCAAAGTTTAAATAAAGAAAAATAATAAAAATTTACCACAATAACCTAAAAACAGCTTGACCAAATTTCTAGGTTTTTCTCAAATACCCATAATTTTCAAATTGCATGAGATAGATTTTTTTTCTGATTTTTCTCACGATGGTTATAAACACCCCATTTCGATTTGACGTTTAGTTCTAGGACACCCTGTATATTATGAGCTGACCGACTATGTGTGTACATACACGCTTCCTTATAAATAGACTTAATACCTGCTATGGACAAGTCAATATCCGCAAAATATGCTCCAACTGACATTATTGTACCTACACAGCCGAGTAATTACCCACATAATTGTTTCTTTAAATTAACTTCGAAAATTAACTACACTAGATTACGAATACTACCTCAATAATTGTACAAACTTGTTTCACACACTATGTTAAGTTATATATATAATATAATAATAATCTATAATAATCTCAGGACAATTCACACAGCGCCATCTAGACCCAAGTTAAGCTAGTTAAAGCTTGTGTTATGGTTACTAGATAACTGATACATATACATAGATATTTTTTTTTGTAAATGCATACATATTATACATAGAAAACACCCAAATGTATACAAACAATCATACTCATGAATACAAATGTTTGTGCCGTACGAGGAATCGATCCCGCGACCATCGGTCGTAAAGAGGTGTGCTAGACCGCTAGACCACCGAGGTCGTCAATAAATACATACATCTAAATATATACAACTCATAGGTGACTGACTGACTGACATATTGATCTATCAACGTGATAAATTCACCAGGAATTTATCTCGATGGTCTCTAGGGGGAATCGCGTGGAGGTCAACCTAATATGGTACATTGTTAGCAATGAGGATTGCCAGTTCCTGTTACCAACACTCCCCTTTCCCCCTAGTTTGGGACTAGAGGGCGCTATATGAAGTATCCTAAGATATTACTATTAACTAGCTTTTGCCCGCAGCTTCGCTCACGTTAATTTATCCCCTTGGGGGTAGAATTAATCAAAATCCTTTCTTAGCGGATGCCTACGTCATAACATCTACCTGCATGCCAAATTTCAGCCCGATCCGTCCAGTGGTTTGGGCTGTGCGTTGATAGATCACTACGTCAGTCACCTTTGAGTTATATATATTCAAATATTATAAATGTACCTTAAAATTTCTTAAAAGAGTTTGTTAGAAATGTGAATTAATTACTCCATCGCTAGTAATGTACGTAGTCAGGTTGACCTCCACGCGGTTTCCCTGGAAACTATCGGGATAAATTCCTGATGAATTTATCACGGCCAACTGACCCGACCTCATGCTCATCTTATCATCCTCCACTGATGCCTCGCCAGGGGAAACCGCAGCGGAAGCCCGTGCACCATTCCACAATCATCCATAAAAGTGTATGAGTAAATATAAAAAAATTACCTCAAAATATATTTGCGTGATATTTCTATAAAACAATTTACAGTGGACCCCCGGTAGTCCGACAATCATTTTGCAGGGCAGTGTCGGACTATCGAATTTGTCGGATTATAGAGTACTGCCTAAGACCCCTTATAGTCCGAATTGTTTTACAAAAGAGTACCTCGTAATCCGACAAATTTTTCATCCAATGATGATTCTTTGTATTATATACATATACAGTGGACCCCCGGTTATCCGACAAACGTTTTGCAGGGCAGTGTCGGACCATCGTATTTGTCGGATTATAGAGTGCTGCTTAAGGGTCCTCTGCTTATAGTCCGGAATTTTTTACAAAAGAGTATCTTGTAATCCGACAAATTACAGATCCAGTGATAAGATTTTATGTTATATATGTATGTATGTATATGCACTCTGAAGTATATTGTCAAAGTAATATTCAATAACAAATAATAGACAATGTCTGATTACAAGGGGGGCCGGATTAGACAGGGGCCGGATTACCGCGGGTCCACTGTATTCTGAATGCACTTTTCCTCCGTTTCTGCGCTAAAATAAAATCATAAAATTTCGACAAAAAAATTCCGAATAAACTCGTTAACTTCTAAATTGGTGATCATAATAACTGCTACCTTAAATCGTTCATCATAAAAGTGATGACGTAAATATACACCAAATCACCAGGCAATACATCAACTCGTCTTATTAAGGCATCGGCATGTCCATAAAAAAACATAAGCGACAATGAAAATAAGTTTATAATGGGCTGTACCCCGTAATTACGCCCAATAAATCCGCGAATACGAGACGAGCGGACAAAACCAATTTTCAATATAATAAAACAAACAAAAAATGAAATGTGCGTCGGTTTGTAAACGTCAAACTATTGAGTGGGTGCTCGGGACGTGATCACCCGGTACAGTACGTGCGTGAGAACCGAACCCAAACACGCACTTATGGATACACCTACTTAGTGTTTACAACTTAACACACACACCTGTAATTGGGGAGAAAATTGGTCTGGGTAGTCTGTCGTATTTCTGATGGTTGCTGATTCGATTCCTGGCACGGTACAAACATTTATATTCTTGTTTGTATCTGTCTGAGTATTTTCTATGTATATTATGTATGTATTTACAAAGAAATGTATCTATGTATTTATATCGGTTGTCTAGTACCAATAACACAAGCTCTAAACAGCTTGGGACTAGGCGGCAGTGTGTGAATTGTCCTCAGGACCACATTTATATGGCGCCGTATTAAAAAAAAATCTTTGAACTATTTTTAATTTATTTGATACTAATCTAACTTTACAAGTGTGTAATTCTTTTAGGGATATATAATTTTTTATGATAATATACAGGGTGTGTAGACTCTTATGCTGCTTGTAGGGACTGGTCTGCTCTAATCACTATGACTGATTTCCTCTTATTAATTGTTTAACCAGTTGGTTGTATATTCAATATTGTTTCTATTTAATTATTTAATTGAATTAGTGCTAATCGGTAGTTTGTATTCACACATTTGAACTTAATTTATAAAGTAATAATAAAATTGTTTAAAAGAACAACACGCAAGTTTCTTGCTCGTTCTTCTTGTGATGAGACAGCTTTCCGAATGAGCGGTAGATTAAAAAAATGTGATGACTATTCAAAAGTGCTTCAATGTAGGTTTATTTGAATAAATGATTTTCTATTCTATTCTTATCTACAAGTTTCTAAAATATGATAATGTAGCTCTATACATAAAATAATATAAAAATTATTCTAGTATTTTTTTAATTCAATTAATAATTTATATTAATTCAGACAAGGAAAGTATCAAATCTTTCCTGTATTTCAGATTATTTATGGATTTTAAAAAATTAAGACAAAATATATACTTATTAGTTTTGGAATTACTAACAAGATTTAATGAAGACGCACTACATTATAATTAAGTGTATCTAATTAATTGTGTATCTTATTAGTTTTTATTATAATATAATTTTTTTACATATAAATAAAATCAACAGCTACAGAAAATATCGTAAATTATTATACTGACTTCGACATTTAATTAAACTGTAATTGGGAGGTAAATAATTGCACTTGGCAACACCGACGCCCACGTGCATTAAGGGATATGCTACTGATGGGAGGCAATTATATTTTTTGTTCAAACAAAAACTGTATCATTACAATACCTTCAACTCAGATTACAATACATCGAATTTTATAAAACATACCCCTATTTTTTTAACAACTATGCGTTTTTTTTATTACAATATATGTTTAAGTACAATGACAATTACAAAATATTTGTTTTCACTCCGATCGATTCAAACGGGGTCGAAATTATGACGCCTGAGCCACAGATAACAAATTATTACATACCTGAGCCGAGGTTCGAACCCCTAGCAGTGCCCTCAGACTAAAGTCTTATCAGGCGGAAGTTGTCCTTCAGCCGCTCCATAAGTCCTTCCTTTGGTTTGGAGTGCCATCTGCACTCGCCCTCTATCGTCCGGTGAAGCTGTAAATGCCAGCTGCGGCCAACAGCATTAGAGTAGTCAGAAAAAAAATTGATGTCTTTATAAGCACTTTATGTTTCTTTTTAACAATATATAGGTCGAGACTA